AGTCTATGCCTCAGACTTCTATAAATTCAGCTTAGCCTAGAAAACTGAACAACCTACACAGTCTCCAAATCAGAATACGGTGACCCTATCAGAAATCTTCCAAAAGGCAAACTATCATGAGCTGGCTGCACTCCTCTTTCTTACCCTTTCACATTTATATCCCACGTTGTCCTCTGAATATGCAAGTTACGTCACAGGTCCTCTCTTAATAAGATATATCTAGTAATTTCTCCAGAATGGGAGAAGATGGTACTGAGCCATCAGTACATAGCCTTTTACAAACAGAATTCATCTGCAGCTCAATTTGAGAATAAGGGTATAATCTATGTCAATTATGGGAGCATGAATCTCTAACTTTAGCTTACTTAGTACCTACTGCCAACTCATCGGATTAGTAACCCAGAGGCTACTCAATAAAGCAGCCTCATTTGACTGCCAGGGAGGACCTGGATCCTGGGAAATGCTAGAAACCTTAATGAGACGATTAAAATAAAATAAAAATCTCTGGTCCCAAATGTTTTTTTGAATTTAATCATTGCCTTTTTCCTATTGTTTTTGTTCTATTTCAAATACCTGCTACACTAACCATAGCCGTTGCTACATGAACTCATGTTTGTCTCAGCAAAAAATCAATAATCTGCAGCAAAATGCACAGCATTTTATATCTGCATGATGATCTAAAAGATGAGTTCGTACCAATTAACGAACTAATCATCACTTAACTCACATATGGCTCGCTCATGTAATAACTAAAGCAATCTTTGGGATAGTGAACCGGCTGGCAAAGAACCAGACTTGAAATATGACAAACCCCGGGAGAGGCAACCCGAAGCAGGAAACTGGAGGCAGTAAGGTGTCGGCTAATGCCATAATGCCAAGGTCAATCATCTGGTAGGTTCAGCTGTAGCCAGGTCAGCTAGATGGAGGAAAAATGTGAAGCAGAAACTTGCTTATTATAGAGGTGCAAGTTGACTAAAAACAGAATAATTCTACTCAATAATTACCACATTTTCCCCCAACTTCTCCCCGACCAGACACACATACACTCACATCTAATAGCAAATGGCTATCTGGCATGAAGGTCTTTGGTCACAAGACAGCAAGCAGAGTCCAGCAAATGTAGCCTGGGGAAGAGCCCTAAAAACACTCGGTCTCAATGATGTTTTCCCCAAAGGATTAATTAAGGTTCTCCTTTCAGATCCAAGAACCCTTCTAGGTTACCAAGAGATATTCTCTTTTTCTCAGACCAAAAACAAATGTTTTAAAGTATTTAAAACTAGGAAAGGGGGAAAAAAGTTATTTTCAATCTTTGTAAATGTCTACTTGCATTCACATTTTTTCTCTCTTCTCTAAAGTTTTTTGTAACATGTGCTAAAAGTAAACCACTTGGCAAAAAATATATAAATATATATATATTTATAAAAATATATAAATATATATATATTTATAAATATATATAAATATATAAATATGTATTTATAAATATAAATATATAAATATGTATTTATAAACATAAATATGTATTTATAAATATAAATATATAAAAAGATATAATATATAAATATAAATATATAAATATATATTTATAAATATAAATATATAAATATATATAAATATATATTTATAAATATAAATATATAAATATATATTTATAAATATAAATATATAAATATATATAAATATATAATATGTAAATATATATTTATAAATATAAATATATAAATAGATATGTATAAATATATATATATTTAAGTCTATAGAACAAAAGAAAAGCCGATTGAGGAATGTTGCCCACTTCCACCTCTGAAACATAGTAAGCTACCAACTCTTGTTATATATTGTCAGCTATGTCACTGCATTTACAAGAGGAGAAATGGGACATGTTCTAAAGGCAGAAGGATTTAGACTAGACATTTGTATTTATACAGCACTATTGACAAACTGTTAAGCTTCTTTGTAAAAATGACTTACATCAAGTCAGTGCCAAAATTGTTGTCATCAAGCAGTGCATACAGCTGGCTCTCGTCCCTAAATTGCCCTTGTTACACATTTGCTTTCTTTGTCTTTTCATTTTATTTTAACCCTATAGGTTAATTTTGACTTGTCCTCTGCCTAAAACCCCATGATCACCCCATTGCCTTTCACCGCCTGAAGACCGAGGCCCTGTCCTGAACCCTACCCAGCAAAGGAGACCTATGCCTACAGAGAGATTAATTCTATGAATAAGCATCACTGTATACTTGGCTCTCTGTATCCCCTGCTTTCTGGTTTACTCACTATGGACTTAACTGGAAATGACATTTTTCTGCCTTCTAAATTAGACTGCAACACTCCTCAAAAATTGAACCCCTCAACTCACTATCCCTTTACCATCAACTGCAACTTAGTAACAACTCCTATGTCAGTTCTTCCCCAGAGAATAGGTTCTGTACTACCACCTAGCTCCCTTCAACTGTATCCCACTGGAGGAAAAAAAAAAAAAAAATCATTATTTGAGCATGAGTCACCCCAAGACATGACACTGTGATAGGTAAAAATTCTAAAAATGTCTCCCACAAGATACCCATCCTCTAGTTATTCAAACATGAATCTAAGCACTACACTACACTAACCTTAATAGCAGATACAATTAAGGTTACTGTGAGAATACAGAAATCTGAAGTGCTTTTCCTATTATTATTCACTCATTCAATACTTCTGACACCAATGTGAGGGGGCAAGGGGCGGGGGCCATTCCCACCTACGCCAGGCAATTCCACAGAGGTATCTGCAGCAGACACTAGCTGGCTGTCCTCTAAATCAATTCTGACACTATCTACCTGGAAGCAACATGAGATCCCGCAGGTTGAGACTGCCACTACCTTTCATGCCAATCACGAGCCTCAGGTTGTTTTACCTTTGCTTCTGACGAACTAGGTTCCCACAACTGCTTTCTTGGGTTCTATTAATATACTACAGCAAATGACAGCACTCTGCAACACACATACATTGGTTTATTATAAAGAATATTTCAAATTATATTGTAATATTATAATACGCTATTGCAATATTATATAATGTAAAATTGCAATAATACCAAATAGAATATGACGAAGAATACGGATGAACATCCAGATGGAAGGGATGCATAAGGTGAGGCATTTGGGAAGGGGCACGGAGCTTCCATGCCCTCCATGGGTGCACCACCCTCCCAAATCCTCCAAATGCTCAGCTATCCCCAAGCCATCAAAACTCAGTCCTTTGGGGGTTTTAATGCAAGTTTCATTATGTAGGTGTGATTGATTAAACCACTGACCATTAGTGGTCAACTTATCCTTTATCTTCTCTTCCAACCCGGAGGTTGGTGATGGGATTAAATTTCCAACCGCATAGTCATAGCGTGGTCTTTCTTGTGACCAGCCCCAATCATGAGGCAATCTAGATGGCCCCAACGAACAGGCATCTCATTAGCATAAAAAGGACACTCTTACCACTCTGGAGATTCTAAGGATTTTAAGAGTTGTATGCCAGGAAATAGGACAAAGACCAAATATATATTTCACAACATCACAGTTACTAATCACCTTAAACAGGGAGCTTATCCTGGATTATCTGGGTAGGCTCAGTGAAATTCCATGGTCCTTTAAAATCAGAAAAGAAAGGCAGAGAATTGGTTTTAAGAGATGGAGTGATGGGAAAAGAGGAAGAAAAGAGAAAGTCAGAACAAATCTAATCCGAAGAAGGATTTGACTTCAAGTTGTTGCTGGCTCTGAGATACAGGGGCCCACATGCAAGGGCCTGAGAAGGACCTCTAGGAGATAAGAGCAAGCCCCAGCTGACAACCAGCAAGGAAATGGAGACCTTGGTACTAAAACCAGGGAACTAGACTCTGTCAACAACCTGAAAGATCCTAGAAGCCAGTTGTTCCCCAGATAACAGCCCAGACCACTGATGTCTGGGTGTGGTCAGCCCAGACCACAGCCACTGAATCTTGGCTGTGTGGCCTATAGAACTGCAAGATGATAAATTTGTGTTGTCACTAATGTGGTAATTTGTTATGGTGGCAATAGGAAACTATTACAGATAAAATTTACTCATACAATTGTTTGTGAAAAAGAACTATTTCTTATAATTCTTGCCACTACTATACTACTAGAAGCTTTTTTAAAATCAAACATGTTTTAATTCATTAGACATTTATTGAGAGCCTCCTATATCCAAAGGTCAGCAGATAAGAGTCTATGTATCTATCCTGTCTATGAATGTATCCTGTGTGAAAGATAAACTGGCCCCCATAGAATAAAGTATAAACAATTTAACAGAGCACACACAGTGTTCAATCATCTGGCTTCTGCCTCTCCTTCTCCACTTGTCCTCTAAGACCCAGCTAGACATGAAATCAGCTGCTTTTTAAGCCCTTGATTTCCTTTCATGCCACTGAAACTTGGAACTTGCAGTTTCACACCTCAAATATGACTTTTTCCTCTGTCTAGAACACAGCTTCCTTAGATATCCAGATGGCTCTCTGATTCCCCTTCTTCTAGTCTTTGCCGTATTTTTCTGTTTAAAAGACCCCTACTCTTGAGCACTCTATTGAACATTGAAAACTACCACCATTTTTGCATTCTTAATCACCCTCATTCCTGCACAATTTCTGTTCCATAACATTCAGCAACTTCTAATGTACTATATTTTTACTTATTATACTTGATGAATGTATTATATCTATTAGGTGTTATCGCTGTATTTCCCTATTAAACATAATCTTCACAAGAAAGTGAGTTTTATTGATTTTGTTCACAATGAATGAAAGTGACTTTCATTGATTTTGTTTGAATCCCCAGCACTCAGAACAGTGTCTGGCTCAGAGTAAATAGACACATTATCAATATCAGTAAAGCGTTGAATGAATCTTATCGACACCACATATTTTTTCAAAAGTTATTCATAAGACAGAGTCTGATAGAACCCAGTAAGTAGGTGTCTGTGTAAAGTGGAGATCTAAAAAGTCCACAACTTACCTTGCTCAGCTCAGGAAGTGGGCCTAGGACTTTGAAATTGTCAAGTATCTCTTATATCCCATCTTCTTCTTGGACTGGTCTGGAAATACGGAAAGCATTGCTCAGCAGGTATTGGTAAAATGAGGTCAATCTTGTATATATAAAATCTTACCAAAAATCAACACCTTTCAAATTCCAAAAGAAAATAGGACAGTTTATAAGTCTCACTCATAAATTCCTTTCCCTAACTCTCCCTTTATGTTTTGAAAAGTCATAAAAATTATGCTTAATTGAATGAAGTATTTATGACTTCTCTACTGCCATTCCGTTGGCTACAACTTCCTTTCTGAAAAAAACTTTCAATTCATGACTTAACATTTTTTGTCTTTTTTTCCTCAAACCATTTTTACCTTGGTGTTCATACGCTAGAAACACAGAAATGAAAAGTAGTAAAAATTAAAGACAACCTTCTCATTGTTCCAAATACAAGTTGTTCACCTTGAGATTATTATTTAACGTTTGCTAATTGTTGATTGATTATTCTAAGTTGCACCAAGAAGAAAACAGTTTGCAAATAGCTGTTAAGCACTTACAAAGCCACACATTGCTCCTCTAACGTGCGCCAAGGCCACAAATTGATATTTATAAAACTTCAAAAGTGTAAGGAGTTGTTCTGGGATATGTGGCTGAAAAGTACCAACACTGTCTGTGACAAGGAGCTAGTGTGCTTACCGGTCAAGAAATTCTAGGTCATGCTGGCATCGAACAACATGCTTAAACTTGTCCATTTAGTAGTCTACAGTTTGCCAACTTTATAAAGGAAACGTTTATTAAGGAAAAAATCTCAGCTGCTCCTTCTTTAGCTTTCTGTATCTTGTCCAAAGCAGTTTTGCCAAAGCCAAAAGTTTAAGGGCTGGGCTCAATTTCTCCATTTTAAATAGGGACCACAAATAAAACTGTCAACCAGTAAGAATAAATGTAGTGAGCTTTTTGCTCAAACTGGTAGACTTCACTTGGTTAGCAATGCCAGAGCAAATACATCCATAGGGCCGATTCAATGACTGACAAATTTTGACTTGATCCCAACAGCAGCAAGTGGAAAAAAATCAGTCCTCAAATCACCTCATTGTGGCTTTGCATGTGTTAAGTTATGCCTGCTGCTGCAACCTAAATAAGAGCTATTTCAGACATGTTTTCATCCTAAAAATCCTAAAATGAATCTAATCACATAATTTCCCAGCTAACAGCACAATACGCAAACATAACCAATTTTCCTATAAAAAGCTGGAAGCACAGCAGATAAGCAGAGATAGCTTGAAATTCCACATATTTAGGCATGGGGAAACAAAAACAGCAATTTATTTCAAAAATGCATGAAACAATCATTTTTAAAAAGCTTCAAATTCACCCAACAAATTTCATTTCTAAAGGTAATCTTAACAGTCTGAAAAATTAGTATTAGATACTTCGAAGGATACTCATAGTAGAACAATTGCTGTGATTGCAAAAGCATCTGATTTTTGCCTAAGATAGTAGTTATCAACACTGAGCGTTCGAATCATCTCTGCCACATAGACCCTAACACAGACCAATTAAACTAGTGTTTCTGGGAGTGAGGTCCAGATGGTTCTAAACTCCAGAGCTGTAAACTGAGGTCTACAAGAAAAAGGAAGGTAATGAGAATTGTGAGACAATGTTTTCTAAACTTGCCTGATAATAATCAGTGTGATGCTTCCTAACACATGCCCAACCTACTGATGTACCAATCTCAGAGAAAAGGCATGGAAATGTATTGTTAAACAGAAAATTTTAAAATAACTAAAAGAGTATAATGAATTATTTATCACACAAAGGATAAATGCTTGAGGTGATAGACACATCATTTACTCTGATGTGATTATTACACACTGTATGCCTGCATCAAAATATCCCATATACCCCACAAATATATATACCTACTATGTGCCCACAAAATTTAAAAAAAAAAAAAACTCAATAATACTTATCATCAAGAACCTGATCAGGGAGGATAATGTCACTATATAAAGGCTTTAGCAAATATCTGTGGAAAACACCAAAAAAACAAACAAACAAAAAAAACAAATGGCATTTAACATGAACTTCAAGGTTTAAGGTCTGCATTAACCAAGGTAAACTGTAGGACAATCAAAATTCTCAATGCATCAGTAGAAATCCAAAAAAGGTCGAGAAGATGAGGGAGTGGTCAGAGACACAGGGGCTACTCCATGTTGGAGGATGGGGGAGAGATTTTTTTTTTTTTTTTTGAGACAAAGTTTCACTCTTGTTGCCCAGGCTGGAGTGCAATGGCGCGATCTTGGCTCACTGCAACCTCCCGTCTCCCAAGTTCAAGCAATTCTCCTGCCTCAGCCTCCACAGTAACTGGAATTACAGGCGCCCGCCACCAAGCCCAGCTAATTTTCATATTTTTAGTAGAGATGGGGTTTCACCATATTGGCCAGGCTAGTGTCGAACTCCTGACCTCAGGTGATCCACCCACCTCAGCCTCCCGAAGTGATGAGATGACAGACGTGAGCCACCACGCCCAGCCAGCGCAGAGGTTTTATGGGAAGAGCTAGTTTGGAGCAAATCTTCTTGTGTCTTCTTCTTGTCTTCTTTTAAAGTCACTCTCTTCACATCAAATGGCGATTTCCGTTCCCTGTCTTTCGTTGTGTTGACCAGAGCCTGAAGCATCTCTTCAATAGCAGTTAACTCCAACCTCACAAAGCCTGATGATACACATGGTTTTGTCTGGTTAATATTATACAAAACATAGTCCTTGTAAGTATCCATTTAAGTGGTTTCATTTTATTCAGTGTGTTTACTCTGGACTGTTTTACTATTTCCTTTGTGTAACATTGGGTATAAAAGTATTCTTTTAGCATTCTTCTAATATACCATAACACAAAGAGGACAAAGGCAGGCTTTTCCACTGTGCCATCAAATGACCTGCATAATTTTGTCCCGTGAGTTCCCAGGACATTAGTGGTAATGCCCAGTGGAGCAATGAAGCCTGGTGGGCACAGCAACGTTCCATCACAATCTGGTGGGATATGGTAGCACCAGTAGGATATGGTGACACCAAGGACTATGTGGCAGGGAACACAAAACATCGTACTAGAACTAATGAAGTAACGACTAGACTATTCTCAGACATAACTTTGTCACCATTTGAACAGAACTTGAAGTTCTATCCAGATGGTGAAGACAAAAGCCAGAAAAATCAGAGAGGTTACCACACTCACATCTGCACCCACAAGAAAACAAGGTTTGAGGATACCTGAATTTAATGAAAGTTTGATTTTTGTTTTCTAAGAAGGATATAAAATAACATATACACTGCAATTCCAGTTTTGTTAGAGGAGCTTAGGTGCCTATTTTTAAACTTTAATAATATAGAAGACATGGTTGATAGTGTTTGTTTCTAGGTAATAGGATTGTAAGTTATTTTTAGGGATTTTTATTTCTCCTAATTTCATTTTCTAAATATTCTACAATGAATACTTATTTTTACAATAAGACACAATATTAAAGTTATAAAAAATTTGTGATTGTTCAAAATTAATTACAAGGTATTTGTGGTTTCATAAAGCCTCATCATCTAAGGTAATTAGCCTTTAAGCCTTTCTTAAAGGTGAAAGAAAGGCTTTCTCATACCAACATGCCCAACCTACTGATGTACCAATCTCAGAGAAAGGTTTAAGCCTTTCTCATACCAACAGCTTGTTAAGGAAATAAGTATGCATTTATGGGACTCAAGTTATACCTCCACCTAATATGATAGAGGAATAATTAAGTATTCGTGATCGGAATACAAGGACAAGGGTAGCTTTTTCATTGTTATTGTTAAGTAGAAAGACTTTTCTATAATAATTACCCACGATATGGCTTAATATTTTTTCTCTGTAACTTTATTTTGTTAATCTAGCCTGTTTTGTGATGTATGGCTATTGTCAACATCATTTACTGTGAATAAACACAAGATTCAAGCTCATTAGTTTTGGGACCCAAATCTTAGTCCCCCTCAACTGGCCAGCACATTCACCATCATAGGGAAGGGAATGGTATATGTTGAGAACATTTGTTTTAGTTAAAAATCGTACCTTTTAAAAGCAGAGTAAAAAATATTTGGTTCTATTCAATATTCCCTTTTCAAAAACAAAACAAAACAAAATTTCATAATATGTTCCACCACAATCAATCTTTGCATATTAAATATAATGGATTACCCTTTTGAGCTTAGTTAAAAACAGCTCATATATTTCAATGAGTAATTATTAACAAGAGTCCAAAATACTCATCAACTTGTTACATGTAAGCATCACATGTAAGAAATGCCATATCTTGGAAATTTTCATTATAATATATATTTTCTCTTCATCAAGCAAACACTGAAGTTTTTATAGTATTCACAACCCAAAGTGATTTAAGGGAGAACAATTAGGTGCCTGAATCACAGTACCATCAACAGAAACAATCTGTCATGACGCTCAAACCCTAAGTCAGGTGTCGGGTGGCAGAACGATGAGGTAGAGAATTTACCTGCATAGCATCATAAATTAATAATTATATATTTTTTCCTCTTCTTTCTTTCTGAGAGGGTACACTCTGAAAGGGTGTGCCTTCATTTCAGAGCCAGTAGGATAGCAGTGTTCATTGACTTAATTGCCTGGTAAAAATTTAATGTAGCTAATTTTATTATAGAGAGACATATATAAAGACACAACTAAAATGTTACCATTCAAAGCAATAAAACTAAAATATATAGCATACATTTCATTATGCTGGTGATGAATGCCTATTTTATATATACATTAGCAGAATATTTTTCTGGCCTCATTAATTCCGAAGAGGAGTTTTCAAGATGGCAGTCGAGAATATCCCCACTCTCTGACAGCAAAAATCATCTTCATCATCATCGTCATATTCCTTATCATCATCATAGTATTCACTGTCATGATCATCCTAGATACAGCAAATAATCTATAACCAGAAGCCACCATCTGGAATCTTGCCATTGGCTTAGGCCACAGCCATGGCACTTTCCTGCTGTGTGAAGTTAGGATTTTAAGCACTAGCCTC